CTGCCGCCGCGCCCAGCCGATGATGGTACTGAGGATGGTGAGGATGATGATGAGGATGATGATGATGATGATGATGATGGTGATGATGAGGATGATGATGATGACGATGATGGTGATGAGGATGATGATGGTGATGATGATGATGATGATGATGATGATGATGATGATGATGATGATGATGATGATGATGATGATGATGGTGTCGGTGATGATGATGGTATGGTGGTGGTGATGATGATGATGATGATGATGATGGTGATGGTGATGATGATGGTGATGATGTCGGTGATGATAATGGTATGGTGATGATGATGATGGTGATGATGATGATGGTTATGATGATGATGGTAGTAGTAATGGTGGTGATGATGATGGTGGTGATGATGATGGTGGTGATGATGGTGATGATGATGATGCTGGTGATGATGAAGATAGTAATGATATTAATGATTGTGATGATGATGGTGATGATGATGGTGATGGTGATGATGATGGTGTGGTAGTGGTGGGTGGCAGTGAGTAGTGATGATGATGGTGATGATGATGATGATGGTGATGGTGAGTGGTGGTAGTGGTGGGTGGTGATGATACTGATGATGATGGTGGTGATGATGATCTTGGTGATGGTGGTGTTGGTGATGATGATGACAATGGTGGTGGTGGTGATGGAGATGGTTGCGGTGATGGAGATGGTGATGGTGATGGTGATGGTGATGATGATGATGAAGAAAATGATAATGATGATGATGATGACGACGACGACGACGACGACGACGACGACGAGGACGACAACGACGACAACGGTGGTGCCAGTGCTGGTGCTGGTGCTAGTTCTGATGGTGGTGATGATGACGACGTGCCAGGGAAGGCGGGTGTGCTGCCTGGCTTCCCCCTCTCTCAGCGCTTGTTCACGGAGGCCTCGGATAATGAGTTTTGATCCCGATGTGCTCCTGCCTTTTGTGCCAGCTGTCGTGTGGATTCCCAGTGTTTCGCAGCATGTGGGCAATATCCGGCGGTCCATCTCGACAAGGGGAGGGGGGAAGGGGCAAGACAAGACAGAAACAAGCAGGCCTGGGCTGGGTCGACTCGAAGAGACGGATCGGATTGGAGACGGACCGGGTCGCGCCCGAACCGGCGCGGCATCGGATCGGGAAAGGACGGCTGAGATCGAGATGGGATCGGATCGAGATCGGCAACGAGGACTGGGAATCGGATCGGATCGGATCGGGCCGCGCACCCTGTCGGCCCGAGAGAGGCCCAAGGAGACCCAAGAAAACCTCAAGAGGCCACCCAGGAGCCCAGATGTGGCACGAAAAAGCCCCCGAGGAGCCCCAAGATGACCCCCGAGGGCCCCCTCGCCACCCCGGATCTCCAGGCGCTGTTGGAACAAGCAGGCTGTTAGCATGGCCGCACCCCTGGCTTGATGTCTCACCCCGCAGTCGGGAGGCAGCGGTGACTCCGCCGTAGAAGGCTCCGATCGCGCGATGTTGGCGCGTGGATCCCAAAGAATCATCTGGGAACGCGCCCCATGTCTGGAACCCTGCTGTGTGTGTGTGCCGAATCCCGTGCTTGTATGGACCTCTCATTTTATTGGATCCTTAGCTAGCTACTTGTATGAGTGAAGCACCGTGTGTCTGGACCGCTCTAGGTAGAACTTATCCTATGTTTATCTGAAGAACCTCGGTAGAAACCCATGTTTACGTGCAGAACCCAATGGTGTGTAGAAACCGACTTGGAGACGACAAGAACTTGGATTGCCACCCCTTGCATGATGGACAATTGTGTGTAGACTCCATGTGGCGGCCACGGCCAGGAGCCCTTTGGCCGCGGCCAGACCCAGACTGCCCAGCCAGCTCGAACGTGAGCTCATCTGGGTGCAAGCACTGGTGAAGGGGCCCAAATACCAGGACTCCCCATATTGTTCTACATTTGCTGGATGTTCGACTTTCCCCCCCCACACTTCCCATACTTTCCATATGTTCTAGGGCATCGACGATGCACTGTGCCTGTGCGTTTCCTTCCGTCCCGAACTGGTTTTTGGGGGCCACTACCCGCCCGACGCCCTCATCTCCTCGTCCACGACCTCCAGAGCCCAAGCATGCTCCGCACACTCCTGCCCTCCTCACGCTCGCCACTGCCCTCGCCATCGCTCGGACGTGCATTTTTTGTTTTTTTTCGGTGTCGTGCGTGGTTTCTTCGCCAAATGATCAAGGATGCTCCTCGATGGCCCTCGCCGAGGAAAAAACGCACACGTCCGAGCGATGCCGAGCGCCAGCCGTGCTCCGTCCCGTGTTCGGGCTCGGGTGCTCCACGTGCCTCGTGGCTCGCCCCTCTGCGGACGACTCTGCTGCCCCGTCTCCCCACGCATCGTGTCTGCCCTCCTCCGTTCTCCATCCTCCGTCCCTCTTCCTTGTAGATGCCTCCTCCCTGCCGCACGACCGAGCGGATCGCCAAAGCGGGCCAGGCGTTTCGACGGAGCACTCCCCACGACGTATGGCAAGCCTGACATGAGCAAAACTTACACGGGTGGAACCCGAATGGTGTTCAAGATTTTGCTGAACCCTTGGCGCCGCGCACACGGGTTTCAGGCATATGTCGGCTTCCGCGGATGGAGGGCGCTCCGTCTTGGAGATGGGGCTCTCGCCGTGGCGCCGTGCACACTCGTCCGAAAGCACTCTTAAGAGCCACACGGATGGAGCGCACCTCATTGTCGAGGCGGGTCTCCCGCTGGAGTGTAAAACTGCGCAACTGCTGCACGGATGGAGACTCGAACCAAAAATGAGGCTCTCGCTCGAGTGCCTCGAACTATACCGCAAGAAGTCTGAAACTGCGCAACGATCACACGGATGGAGGGCGGCTCGCATTCAAAAAGGAGCTCTCGCTGGACGCTGCCTTGTACGGTATGACCATACCTCAGTGCAGCTATTACAGCTAGAAGGATGGTGGATCTCTTACCAAACGGGATATCGCCTGTATGAACCACGAGAGTGGGCTTGAGACAGGAGGGTGTATTAAAATGTTGGGTTTGCCCTGGTCCTCATCCTCATCATCATTAGCATCAGCATCAGCATCAGCATCAGCATCATCGTCATCATCAGCAGCATCGTCGTCGTTCGGCGTCGGCGTCGTCAGCAACCTCATCGTCGACATCAGCATCAGCATCATCATCGTCAACAACAACAAAGACATCATCATCAACAACAGCAGCATCAACATACAAATCATCATCAGCATCAGCATCCTCAGTATCATCATCATCATCATCATCATCATCATCATCATCATCATCATCATCATCATCATCATCATCATCATCATCATCATCGTCATCGTCATCGTCGTCGTCGTAGTCGTCGTCGTAGTCGTAGTCGTCGTAACCATCATCAGAAATCCTCATTTCCCCACACCCACCCACATCCCCCTCGCCTTCACACTCCCCCCCCTCCCCCTTTCCCCCCCCCCGTCCAGCAACATCACCCTCGCCTTCACACTCCCCCTCCCCTCTCCCTTTGGCCCTCCTCCCCCTCCTCATCCTGATTAAAGTATTATACCTCATCGTCGTAATCCTCGTATTCGTTCTTCCCATCCTCCCTATTCCTCTTGCTCGTCCTGGTCTTCATCCTCCTCCTCCTCTTCGTCCCCATTCACCCCCTGCTTCTCACCAGATTCCAGATGCTCATCATACTCCATCTTTGCAACTCTCTCCTTTTCCTCCTTCTCCTCCTCCTCCTTCTCCTCCTCCTCTCTGATTTGCCTCCTCCTCCTCCTGCTGCCGCTCCTCCTCCTCCGTCCCTCCTGTATATCCGCCACCGCGTTTGCGGCGGTTGCGGTGTGTGTGTGTCGGACAATTACCTTATGTTGATAAATACACTCGCCTCTTGTGAAGCAATGATTCGGCCACCCGGAAGCATCGAGCCCGATATGAATTCTTGCCGTTGCCCAAATATGCGCGCTTCTACCTTTTAAGCAGAGCGCGTCGCACACATCAAAAGCCTGGATGGGGAACCCCGTGGCAGGCTCCTGGTCCTCCTCCTCCGCCTCCTCCTCCTCCTCCTCCTCCTCCTCCTCCTCCTCCTCCTCCTCCTCATGGTCATCATCCGCCACCGTGCATCTGGGCACGGAGTGGGCATGTCCTCCAGGTCCTGGGCCCAGTCTTCTTAAGCCTCCATCCTCTCCCGAGGAGTCTTTCATTGGGGATGGACAGACCCCCCTTTAGCAAAACGTGGTTTAGTGAAAACGACCTGAGGCCCCACCTGGCGGGCGCAAGCCTGGAAAATGACGGCCACGGCGCCCTCTCGAAAACCGAAAACGAACAATTCACCAATCGACGTGTCACTGTCGGGGGTTCTGTCCACCCCCGACTTTAAGAGGCCTGGGCCGCTCGCTCGCAAATCTCCGGGACGCTCCGCGTGCCCCCTGGGGCTTGTCGCGTGCCCCCTGGGCTCTGGGAGGTCGTGGCGCGCGAATTGCCCGGGCCCGAGGGGGCCCCAAGACGGGCAGAGAGGGCCCCAGGAGGCCCCCCCAAGGCAGTCTCAGAGGGCCCCAGGACGGGTAGAGGAGGAGGAGGAGGAGGAGGAGGAGGAGGAGGAGGAGGAGGAGGAGGAGGAGGAGGAGGAGGAGGAGGAGGAGGAGGAGGAGGAGGAGGAGGAGGAGGGCCCCAAGAGGCCCCACCAAGGCAGTCTCAGGGGGCCCCGAGTCGCCGAACCATCGCACCGAGGCGCTCAAGACGACCCCCAGACAGCCCGAGTAGCCTCCAAGATGCCCAGAGAGGCCTCCAAGAGGCCGCCCCAAGAGGGCCCCAAGAGGCCAAAATCATTCCTAGGTCTTTGGATAACTGGGCGCCGGCGGTAAACCGTCAACCTTTCTTACCGCCGGGGGACTCGTAGAGCTTCCTGACAATATATATACTGTGGGAAAAAACTCCAAAGAACGACTACTTTTTAAGCCCAAGCGATTTCAGACCTCTCAAGATAACGCTAACAAAAAACAAACAGTTTCGC